CTTTCCGAGCTTCCTCAAAGCAACTACGCAACACGTTCAGGTGGTCGCTGACCACCCCGTGTGGTTTAAATGCATCCAAATCGAAGTGCTGCATTTGGCTGATCGATGACCATGTCCTCAAGCAAATTCACTGACTCATTTACATAAATTTTGCCGTCTAAGCTCGTTTATCTTGTGAATACGCAGCGATTGCAAGAAATCTATTAACATCTCGACGTTTGACATTTCAAAGTACAGCAAGTCATTGTTAGAAATATTCTGGTCTCTTGTGATGGATTGACAGACAGTTGTCAAGGTGGATGTCACGCACAAACTAGCCTATTTGTAAGGGATTCAATCGGCGTTGTACTAGACCGTCCCATCTAATAATTTACTTGGCCAATGGCAGGTAATACAGAACACGCTTGTTGGCTATAGCAAAAGCAGCAGCGGCAGCAGCAGCTTCCGGACACTGTTGGTCGGTCGGTTTACAGCTACGATAGTTGCCTTCTCCTAGACTTGATGTCATGATTTTCGCCAAATCAATTTCTCACCTACATTTCAACTCACTATTTCACTTTCAAACACACGAATAAATCAGTTTGTAGAAAATCAACAATCTTACCCCTCACATTCTTCTCCGCCTCCACATTCTCAAAAGGAGCAGCGTATTCGGAGTCGTTTACTAAAAAGAATAGAAAAGCATGTTACATTTTGGGCTGTGTCGTGTGTACGTCTTACACGTATGTCCTTTTGCCAGTGATACCATTGGCCTGAACTCAAATCTGGTTTAACAACAAAAAGTGATCCCAGGATGCATCACCTAACCCCACCCATCCTCCATGTCAACATCCAGTGACTCATGCACTCTACTGACCGTCTCCAGATGACCAACCAATACGCATGAACAGCGACGACGTCTGGGCTTCCGTCGACTTTGGTCCTCACTGGGCACTAGGTGTTGGATCAAGCCGTAAGAAGTGTGACTTTCAGCATCAGTGTTTAGCAAATCATGTTCAAGTTTCACTACAGGACATTACATACAGAACCTCATTCACGCAGTCCCAGCCACGATTCGCAATTCACTAGGGTGGAGAAATTTTGCAAAAAGCACAGGCTTTACATCATGGACAAAAGTATTTGTTGGCCAGGCATTCAGTTGTCTACCTGCGTTCGATTTGGCGGGCTGAGGTCATTCTCGAGCAAGTTAACTAGATATCGGTTTGCACCCACTTGTTGTAGAAAGATAAATCGCCGTTAAAAGTAATCCTGCGGCTTCCTTACTGCCGTGTTTCTTCGAGACTAACGACTGAAACACGACACAGGGACCGAGCATCCGACTGCAAGCCAACACGACAGGGCCATGTTGGACGTGACGGAGGGGTGCGACACGTGGTCAAGACGTCGCAACCAGCACCGACGAAGAAAAGGCTCCACGACACCAAATCGGCACACCAGCGTTCGCATCATTAACTATTTGACATCCGTTAAATGTTGGTTGGTGGTGCTCTTTAACTACTAAGTCCAATTTTCCACGCGAAATGATTTAAATCAATTTTAATGACTAATTGGTAACATAAAAAATACACAGCGCTTACCACCTTGCGTTCTGTTAGTTGTAATGTTT